TTTTGTTTGGGTAAACTACACTTTGACGTGTCTATGGAAATTCGAGGCCTCAATTACAATGTCAACAGGCCTCAATTACCTACCAGATAGAATGAGGAAATTGCGATATGATGACCATATTAATTAATTATTCAACTTCATATCTTGTAACACTCATACATTTATTAATTATTCAAGTTCATTTCGTAAGTGAAATACTAGAATTTTTTTTCCTCTATTTATTTGCAATCAAATATTGTATCTTGAGAGATATTTAGGATTGTTATAAAATCCATGACCATATTATTTCGAGGAAACCATCAATCCAACTTAAGACCAAATAGATTCAGATTTTCCACTTTAATAACCAGAATCTGGAGTCTTCTTCTAACAATGTCAATAGATTTAGGTGAAACAACAATACTTGTTTCGATTGGTCTAAGCATAATAACAACTACATTCATGATAGAAGTCTAGGAGACCAAAAGCTATAGAAGTAGGTGGCTTCTACAATCTAATCATGTGTTCTTACCAATTAAAAGAGCCAGATTAAAAAAATAAATAAATAAAGTAAAATGAAACATTTACTTCAGCTTGAAATGAAAGGTGAAAAACAACCCCCTACCCTAACACATTTGTGTTATTACCAAGATTAAAACATGAATAATTGAATACTAGAAAAGAGAAAAAATAAGAGAAAATTTGAAAAAGAAATGCATTAATATCTCATCTTACTTCAATAGTCTTCTATGATGTTAGGTATTTGATACATGGCAAACAACCCCTTAGCACATCTACATTCTTCTGCACATACCAAATCAAGCTCCGATGGATTCACCCTTGATTAGAAATCAGAAATTTATTTGAAAAAAAAAATCAAAAAATCCATGAACATATTTGCAAGAAGAAATGACACCAATAGGGGTGGCAAATGGGTGGGTTAGGTTGGGTTGGGTAATGGTTGAATACCAATCCACCCATATTGACCCATCATCAATCCTTGTTAAAGGGTTATAACCCACCCTGGCCCACCCATATTAACCCACTTGACCCATACATATTGACCCTTAACCACCCTCACCCATACTAACCCACCTACCCTCGTAAATACAAAAATGGGTTGGATGGCTCATATACTCAAAATAATAAATTTTGAGAGAATAATCTCTCTCAAGACTACCACGTGACAAAAATGAGTTAGGTCAACCTATAGCACCGAAAATGCAAAAATTGTAGATAAATGCAAAAAATGCAAAAACAAAAAACAAAAAAAAGTAGAAAAATATAAAAGAATACCAAAAGAATGCGAAAAATACAAAAAAAAACTAAAAATACAGAAAAATCAGAACTTTTGCAGAAAAAATCAGAAAATATGCAAAAAATACCAGAAATTTGTAGAAAATGCATGAAAAACACCAAATAATGCAAAAAAAAAAAACAAAAAATTGTAAAAAATGCAGAGAAATACAAAAAAAAAAATTAGAAAATGTAGAAAAATACCAAAAAAATTGTAGAAAATGCAAAACTTTTATAAAAGTGCTTTCATAAAAGTACTTTCATTAAAAGCAATAAAGTGCTTTTATGCTTTCATAAAAGTGCTTTTGTAAAAGTACTTTTATAAAAGTGCTTTTGTGTAAAAGTACTTTTGCAAAAGTGCTTTTGTAAAAGTATTTTTATAAAAGTGATTTTATGCTTTCATAAAAGTGTTTTCATAAAAGTGCTTTCGTGTAAAAGTACTTTTGTAAAAGTGCTTTCATAAAAGGACTTTTATATAAAAGTGCTTTTATGCTTTCATAAAAGTGTTTTCAGAAAAGTACTTTCATAAAATGCTTTCATGTAAAAGTGTTTTTATAAAAGTGTTCTTGTGTAAAAGTACTTTTATAAAAGTGATTTCGTGTAAAAGTGCTTTCGTAAAAGTCCTTTTCATAAAATTGCTTTTGTAAAAGTACTTTTGTATAAAATTGCATATGAACACGAAAGTTAATAAAATCTATTTTATTTCACTTTTAATTTCAGAATGAAATGTGGCATGGTGGTTTGGAAGTCTAATGAGACGTTACCACAGTTTGGGTGTCAATGGTATTCGAAAATCTGATTTCGAATTTGATATCCGACATAATCGAATCGAATTTGGATAATTCGAATACCTAATCAGTCGAATTCGGATATCCTATTCTTACCGAATAGTTAATCGGATTCGAATTCGAATATGACCCGATTCGATTCGATAAATATCCGAATTCGACCAATTATTTAATTCTTATATACAATATATAAAATATTTTATATAATTTATACATAATAAATGAGCTATATAAATAATTTATATATTTATATACTTTATATCAATAAATATTTATTTTATATATTTATTAATTATCTAAAATAATTAATTAATTGAATTCGAATCGAATCACATATTCGAATATTTAAYCGGATTTGAATTCAGATATTGCATGATCCGATTTGAATTCGATCCATTTACACCCCTAGCCACATAGTATGAGGCATGAGTTCAAATCATTACAACTTCTAATTTTTGAGATTTGGCGAGTATAGATAGAGTTGACTACTTTGACCCAACCCATCTTGACCCTAATGGTTACCCTCGATCCAACCCACTCTGACCCTTTTCCACTAACCCTAATGGGTTACTCGACCCATATTGACCCACCAATAGATTAGGTGGGTTTGGGTGGGTTTGGGTGTGTTGGGTGGGTCATATGGGTTAGGGTCAAGATTGTTGACACCAAGGCATCTTTCAAGCCAAGTCTCTCAATAATGTTGAAATCGATCCTGTAAGGATGCAATGATGATGACCTTCCCTTGGAATCTCCTCCTTATCTTCTCCACCTTGTTATATTGGTGATGGAAGGTAGCACTGGCACCCTTTGTCCCAGTAGAGAGACAGATTTGAAAAGCTTGCACTAACATGAAGGTTAAGGAGAAGGGAGATAAAAACCTAGGAGAAGAGAAAATACACTCACAAAAACAATTAAAGCAACTAAAGAGAGGATAAACAAAATGATTCTTACATAGATGTGAGTGGGAGAGAAAACTTTGTTCTTCGGGTGCAGAATGTGAAAATTGCGATTAAAAACTTTTAAGTTCAAATTCAAGAAAGCAAAGCAAGAGAGAAGTATTAGAAAGTTAAGAAACGTTGATTGCATTTGTAGGGGAGTTTTCGGAATAATAAATGTGTATATACCGTATATGAACAATTGGTAGAAGTATTGCCATTATTTGTAAAAAGTTGCCCATCCAAAGTAATTCCCACCTATCCAAACTCTAAATGGATATTAACCCCCCCAAGTTGACCTTATAGGCAGGAAACCCAAACAAAAAACTCGCCAATCGCCACTATCTCATGGTCCACCCGGATCAGCCTGTTTCCCTTGGTTCGGGTTCACATCAGCCCAACTAACGAACCGGTCAAGTTTTGATCAAGCGTTTGCAACTCGGCTAAGTATTTAAGTTGATTACTGCAATGAATAATATGAGTTTAGATCTGCTCTTCACATCAACTCGGCTAAGTATTTACAGGGAGATGTTCTCAATACACAATGAGATGTTCTACGAGTTCGGTGTGAGGTATGCTCTGTGAGGAGCAAATCCACATATAAAAGTGTCAATGGGTCAGGTCTTATTTGTAACAGGGTGTATCAGCCCCGAACTACTCGTTAGTCGGTTTTATAAGAATAGACCCAAAACCAAACCAATTATTAATACAAGATTACATCCGATTATACTAGCTGTGATAGTAACAGTTTAAAACTTTATTTTTGATAATATAACTTCAATAAAAGTGACAACTGTTAATATGCTTACAGTGTTTTAACCAAAATTTTCATATATGGTCAATGAATTTTATCCTTTTATACATAAAACATAACAAAAATAAGACATTTATTACCAATACTCATCGAAACATTACCGATATGGGTACAATACGCTTCCAGCATAACAAAAAGGAGCGGTACTAAGAATTTAATACCATTTCCCATGCCGAAATCTCAAAGATGCATTACGTATTAACTAATATGGGCCGATAGTAATAAAATTTTGAATATCAACTGGTCTTAATCCGCAAGAACAGCTCGACCCAATGCTTAATCGAAAGAAAACCATAGAATTAGAACAAATACAATCAGGTTGATGATTTGGATCTATCGGATAGACCCAACCCTTGACATCTCTCAGTACATATAGACTCCCTCCCCCCAATCCCCCATGCGCACACAAAATCACAAACAAGCACATATGAGCTTAATATGCAGTGCAGAGGTGAGTTACCAAATGAAAAATCTCCAACTAGCCGCCAAGTGAGGAATCCAAGTTTAATCACTCAAGGCTCAAACAATATACCCTTTAATCAATTCGGGTCTAAATTCACCAAACACCAAGATCCGTTTAAGATGCATTTGCAACAACTAAAGGTCCATTTGGTTTACAATCGGAATTGGAATCAGAATCAAAATCCTTGAGAATCTGAATCGAAATGGTATTCCCATAGTCTTTGATTCAGACAAAAATGGAAATTGAATTTAGAATCAGCAAAAATGGGATTTCATTCCCGAGGGAGAGAAAAAGTCCATTCTCTCGAATAGGGGAATGTCATTCTTCCAGGAATGGGAATGGGATTCCAATTCCACCCAACCAAACAATTAGAATGAGAATAACCAATTCCGATTCCAGACTCCTATTCCCACGAACTAAAAAGGGCCTAATATGTACATATAAATATATAATGCAAATTATATTCACTTGGTAAAGATTTTTGCAAGTATAATAGTTTATAAATTAGGTCAAATTCAAGTATTTCAACAATTTCAAGTGTCATTTCTAACTGAAAAATTCTCAGTGAATTTTGTTAGTGATATAGTGAGGGTAGCATGCAAAAGGAAAACGAGAGAAAAGTGGGAGGCATCTCTTTTTTTCAGTTTCGAAGTCAACTGTTGGAATCACAAAATTAGCCTCACCTATGTCTAGTTTTATGTTTTTTAAATAATGAAAAAATGGCATGAATGTAATTTCAGTTTATTTCATAAATGATATATAATATCCAGATCACATATAAGCCCACTTCGTATATGACAAACTGAATTCAATTGGAATCATCCCAATTCCCATATTTCTAGCATTGCATTGCCAAGCCAGCACTTTGACCCTTCCTGCCTTTCACATTCTGAATTGAATACTCTGAAGTTTTTCTTCAACTTAAGAAAATAACCAAAAGATGGGAGAAAGGCAAAAATCATCACGTCAGTCATCAGTAACCCACAATAGATTATCATGGGTGTGACATCCCAGTTAATTCTCTTCAACCGGGAAAATTCACCTCTTTCCAAAGCATGTCTGCTGATTCCCACAGCAGCAGATAGAAATGCCCGAGTACACGGGCAATCTAGCCAACAATGCCTGTCAACAGAATGAACAGCCAATCTACAGTACCTAGCTCCCATTTACAAAATTTATAGCTGTGTCTAGACCTTCGGCCAAATCAATTGCTGCTCCGATGTAAGTTGGCGGAGTTAGCTTCAGAAGATTGGTCTTTGCTTCCTTTGGCAATTCCAAGCCTTCAATAAATTCTTGTATGCTCTCTTTGGTTACTGCCCTTCCTCGGGTTAGCTCCTTCAGTTTCTCATAAGGTTCCGGGATGCCATATCTTCGCATCACCTAAAAAATGAGCGAGAAACCATGGTATATTTGAGAATGAATTTCTAAAATAAACACTGAACAAAAAACGCAGAAGAAAAAAAGGGGGTTTGATATGTGCTCAAGTTACAGTGATCCAAAAGTTGAGAAATTTATGTGACAACAATGTTTRAAGTATGATTCTAGTCTTATAGGTCTGTATGATGAATAATGAAAGCCATCATCCCTAATTGTGCAAAAACATGGATACATGAGAAGTAGGTTCTAAAATTCAATTGGTTCTTGGCTTCTAACAACTAGATATTATAGACCAAAAAACAGATGTTCACATTCATGCAGATGGTGAACAATACCTTTATTTTTGTGTATAAAATGATGGCCAACAAATACAAGAGTTAGCTTTTAGACCATTAAAGGGATGAAAACTTAGATAAAGCTCAGAATCAACCTGGGTTTGGGCTTATGTTGAATCCTCTGTTTTTTAAGTAGTAACTGAAAAATATCATCATTATCATCACCCATGCCAGTATTTATTGGACAGCTGTTGTTGTAGTATTGACATGCTTGTTAACTACTAATTATGCAAATAGTAACCAAGGAAACAATAAAAAGTCACTCACGAAAAAGTCAATGCATCCCATCATATTTAATAAATGGATAAAAAATGGTACCTGGTTATAGATGACCAGGTGTTAAGTAAATTTTACAAAAATAAGGACAATATGAGATGCTTACAGTCTGTATTGGTTCAGCAAGCACCTCCCATGACTGCTCTAAATCTTCAATTAAGCGAGGTTCATTTACCTGCGATCCAAAGAAAATAACTGAGATTGCACAGAATATGCACAAAGGTCTCATTATGCATTAAAATATGAAAATTTCATATCTCAAATAACAAGATCCAAGATGTTTTTCTCTCCCATTAAAGTTCTTTCCAAGAGTATCAAGTTCACATTTTTCTTGTAGAAATAAACATAAGTGATACATGACAACATCCAAGGAATACAAGTGAGAGCAACATCAATCAGATGCTAATTAATGATCACTATAAATTACACAATCAATAGAAAAGATCACTGCATCTAAACTACTAGGAATGGCAGGTCACATTATATCCAGCCAAGTGGACAGACATCTACTCTCTTTTCAATCATGTTACTTCAAAACATGCTGCATAAGGAAAATGCATTCTGAAAATAACATAAGATCAACTCCATGGTCATGTCTTGCATTCTACCATCATCATGTGATACTTGTTTTTGTAGTATTTGGCAACACAATAGAAGGATAAGAGCCCGGTCATCCAGGGTGAACATATTGCTCAGATGAACCCAGAGCAGTCATAGCTGTCAAGGCGTCAAAGCAATTCTAGGCAATGGTAGGGTGCCTAGTCACCTAGGTGTAGGCAGGCACCAAGGCAATAAGAATTTTATAAAACAAAAAAATAAATAAATAAATACATTTTGGCAAGGTCCCTTATTTTATATACATAATAATTGAAAGAATAGAAATTCACTTTATTAAGAATTTAAGAACATTAAATTCCTTTCGAAACATGGCAAATCATCATATCTAAAATATAAAAACATTTTAAATATATGCTAATTACAATTTCATATCAATTAGCAAGTAAAGAAGGTTATAATCTTATATGCCAAATTTTAAGATAGAAAGTAAAAAAGAAAAAGAACAAGGGTGAACCTACTTTTTTATTCAATATGTGTGTGTGTGAGAGAGAGAGAGAGAGAGATAATAAAAAACACAGAAAAATAAACTTCTTACACTTTTATTCTTTCTTTCTTCTCTTTTCCCAAAACCCTTTGATCTTTTAAATTTCAATAGTAAAACTTTAAAACAAAGTATAAATGATATATATAGTTTAAACAGAAATATAGAATGTATTAACACACATATTGGAAAGATGTAGCAATATGAATGACACACTAATTTTTTTCTAATACAATATTTTACCTTGTTCAAAAAAAAAAAGAAAAAAAAGATGTAGCAATATGAATGACATAAGGCCCCACCTTGTCATTTTTGCCACCTAGGTGGATGCCTGATTGCCTAGACCAGTTGTTTCCCCACCCCCACTTTCTCTATCCTTTTTAATGGTGCCTCCTTTGGGAAATTTAAAAGTTCAAGGGGGCTAAGGCAGGGGGACCCGCTATCCCCTTTCCTTTTCAATTTGATCATGGAAGCTCTTAGTAAACTCACTCGCAAAGCTGTTGAAGGAGGTTTCTTACAAGGTTTCGAGGCTTGCAGCAACTTGGAGCAAATCCCTTTGCTCCAATTTGCAGATGATACCATCTTTTTCTGTGGTGCCTCATCTGATCAGATAATCTATTTGGGTTATGTCCTTGGGTGGTTTGAAGCTGTTTCAGGTCTGAAAATAAACCTTTCAAAAAGTGAATTAATGCTAGCTGGAGATTGCAATGTAGCAGAACATTTGGTGGGTACCCTTGGCTGCAAAGCTCGGAAGCTACCAACCACTTATCTTGGCCTGCCTCTCGGTGCAAAAAGCAATTCCAAAAGAATTTGGGACACAGTCCTTGAGAGGTTCGACAGGAAGCTTGCCACTTGGAAATCTAAAGGGGGCAAGCTCATTATGTTAAAGGTGTTCTTTCCTCTCTCTCTCTCTCTCTCTCTCCCTCCCCCTATCTACTACCTTTCCTTATTTCAAATTCCTGCTGGGGTGGCCAAACAGCTGGAGAATAGGATGAGATCCTTCTTATGGGCCAGATGGAGGAATAGTTACAAGTTCCATTTGGTAAACTGGAACATTATTTGTCAGCCTAGAAAGCTAGGTGGTCTAGGTATCAGAAGCCTGAGACAAGTCAACAGATCCCTCCTTGGTGGTGCTGAAGGTTTAACAAGGAAAGAGGAAGTCTTTGGAGAAGAGTTGTAGCTGCAAAATGCGGGCTCTCATTCCTTGGGTGGGACTCTGGCCCTGGCTTCTCTCCCCTGGGGTGCACAGTCTGGAGTAACATCCTCAAAATCCTCCCTGATTACTTGAAAGGAATCAGCTACAGGTTAGGCAGAGGAAACCAAACCCAGTTCTGGAAAGATGCCTGGTGTGGAAACTTCACTCTGAGAGAAAGGTTTCCTTCCATTTTCGATATTGCCGCTAACAAAGAGGCTGTGGTGGAAGACTGCTATGATCAGGTTAATGAGGAGTTTATCTGGGGGCCTGCCTTTAGAAGGAATCTAAATGACTGGGAAGTGGGCCCTCTGGCAGATCTGCTGAACCTTCTTCAGAATTTCAAACCTAACCTCCTTTTGGAAGATGATAGAATTTGGTCTTCCAATTCTTCTGGGGATAAAATTTGGCTCCCTCTCCCTTCAGCAAGAAGACAGCCAGATCCCTGATTTTCCTTGGGATAAACTTTGGGTTCCCCACATCCCATCAAAGGTGGCTTTTCTGGTCTCAACAGCAGATCATGGAAGATGCCTAACCTTAGACAGGTTATTGAGAAAACGAATGCCCCTGACGAGCTCTCTTTGCTCCCTTTGCAATGCTGCCCCAGAATCCACAAACCACCTCTTCCTACATTGCAGCTTCTCTCAGCAACTGTGGTTAATGGCTCTTACCTGTTTTCATATTCATTCCATTTTGCTTTTCAGAATCTGTTATTCAACTTTTGCAAGGCTTGACAGCTAGAGGTCTGAACAGGACGGGTAAACTATCGTGGAACACCCTCCCATCTGCTATCTTTTGGAAAATTTGGAAGGAAAGAAACCATCGAACTTTTGACCTTAAAACTTCAAGCATTAAGGAGGTTAAAAATAATCTTTTTTTTTTTTATCAGTGAGGTTAAAAATAATCTTATAGGTTTACTTTGTTCTTGGCTGGGTGCACATGACCTTTTTAAGGATGTCCAACTAATCTTTTTTTTGCGTGTTGGACCATTTTTTTATTGAGTTTGCTGTATATTCCCATTGTACAGGTCCTCATTGTACATGGGTCCTCTTTTTTCTAATACAATACCTTACCTTCTTCACAAAAAATAAAAATAAAAATAAAAAAAGGTAAAGGCATTTAGGCAAGATGCCCAGCCAAGGATGACTAGTTGCCTAGGTGGGCACCTAGGTGACACCTTGACAAATATAGGTCACACCAAGGTTCAAAATTTCGATACATATCGGGCCGTATTGGCCAATACGTATTGTATCGGTGGCTTCCTTATACACCCCTACAGCATGGTTTTCAAGGTGCCAAGGCGAGGCTAGGCGACTGGGGGGCTGAACCCATATTTCTTTAATAATTATTCATGATTTTCATAAGAAAAGTAAAAATTTCATATCAAAGTACAGAAAATCAACATATTCATGAGAAGAAAAGTAAGAAGGAAAATAAAATTCAAAAAATATAGGGGCTGAACCCATATTTTTGTTATAGGAAAAGAAAATAAAAGGTATTGGTGGTAGTAGTAGTAGAAGAAGAAGAAGAACTAGAAGAAGAAGAATATATGGAAGAGGAAAATGTGCTGATTCGATAAAATTTCAAGTTCTTCCTTACTTATTGGTTCAGGTTTTTAAGTCTTTGAGGGTTCAATACAGCATTTAGCATTGCTTGTGTTGATAAAACCCTAATAAATAAGAAAATAATAAAAAGAAATTAGTATATAAACACACAAAATGATTATTTTAGTTTAATAATGTCTATTTTATAATTATAATCTCAAAAAAGAATGAATAAAAAAATATTTTATAGTAGAAAGTAGAAAACTGCTTGGTGATTAGGTGATTAGGCGAGGTGAGCCTCAAATGACGCCTTGTCGCCTAAGCATCGCCTTGACAACTATGCCCTACAAGGGATGTTTTGGGCTATGACCTGGTTCATGGGGTAGAAGGGCCTTAAACCGACCCCCCTGAACCAGTTGGAGAAGAAAAACAAAAAAAAATAAAAGGCGAGCCATGATACAGGCCGATATGCCCCTACCGGCGTATTGGCCTGTATCGATATTTTGAACCTTGGGTCACACAACTCTTTGGCAGATGGATTGGCTAGGGGAGGGGAAGAGAAAGCTGAGTTGTACTGGGGATTCCCTCCTACAGTCCTACTCCCACTATAGTTTGTTTTCCATTCACTGCGGTTTGTCTCCTTAGTAAAAGTTATGCTGATCTAATCTTGCCCACTATCAAATCTGGAAGGCTTGGGTATTGTTCTTCAGACTTTTTCATCTTTGTAATGAACTTTCTGCAATGGCAAATGCCTTGGCTGATTGTTTAGCCAAGCAAGGGGTAAATAGGGAGCATTTGTTTTGGGCTCAGTCGTGATTTGATTTATGTATTAACTTCTGTATTTGGAGAGGATGCAGCCCGTACATTTCCTAGGGATGCTTGTATTGTTTTAATCTTTTGAATTAGTATATTCTTCATTGATAAAAATAAAAATAAACTTTCTTCAATCAATTACAGAAAAAGTAAACAAATATGACAAGTCCTAATTGTTAGTAAATTGGAGGCTCAAGGAACTTGGCAAGCATAGATTCATTGTGAGAAAAACTAGACAGCTGGCTAGAGAGCTGGGTGTTATTGGAATTGAGAACTCATAAGTCATATAAAAATGTAGCTGACTCTTGCAAGGCAAGTAGTTATTGAGGAAACTTTGTATTGGGGAGTAACCATGAAGGGGATGTCAATTGCAATTTGGGTTAGGTGGCTGTTGCTAGCCTGATTCTTGCAAAAATTGAACTCTCTGTATAAATTTTCTGTTTTGAATAAAAGTTAGTGTAATCTATCAAAAAAAAAGAAGCCCAAATGTTAGTAGCTTGTATTCAAGTTCAGAACTAGTACAAGTTTGTTTCTTTGATTTTTGTTAAAAGGCTGTATTTTATGTTCATGGAATGATTAATAAGGGACAGCCAACCTCTAACTGTAGCCTTTCAATTGATGATGATAGTCTTCTTTCAACTTTTCAAGAACATTTTTTATTAGCAATGACAACTTGGTATTTAATTAATGCAATAGAGGAAAAAGTTACTTATTCAAAACACAAGAAAAGATAAAGCACGAACAGCTATAGGCTTCCTAGCAGGAAAAAAAAAGAAAGAAAAAGAAAAAGTAAAAAATAAGAGAGAGAGAGAGAGAAGAAACTATAGCTAGACTGGCATACACTTACAACAAGATAAAAAGAACACATATAACAGTTGCTATCTTGAAAAGTTGTATCCAAAGAATTATGATAAAAAAAGGTATAAATGACTATTCTACTTCACATAAAATTTTCAATCTTTGTTCTTGCAAGGAAATTGCATGTTGACAGTGAAAAGTTATTCTTGTGAATGGTCTACATCTAGTTAGCTGATGACGTGATCGTTATGACTAGGTCAATCAGTAACATTACAGATTTCGGTTTCCGTTACAAGTCAGATCTTTTCATTGGCCTAGACCCTTTATTAGCTGTATATTTCCATTTTTCTTCAATTTTTCAAATGAACTTGATCATTATGTACCAAGGTCTAAGTCCTTGCAGAAAGTGACCAAATAAAGATTTGAATTTGTGATCCCATTTTGACAGGATGAATTAGTAAAAGCTCAACTTTGACAGTAACAGCATGAGAAATCCAGGAATGTCAGGCGTTGGTGGGGGTTTTAGAAACAGAAACGGTAAGATGTTGGCTTTGTATTCAAGACCTATAGGGCAAGGAGATTTGCTACTGGCTGAACTCTTGGCCATAAACCAAGGATTTTTGCTGACAAGTTCCTATATCTTAGTGACATGATTGTGGAAGATACTTCCAAAATTTTTGTGAATTGCCTAACAACAATCCAGGGCCTTGGCAGTAGAAGTGATCATAGCCTGGGCCCAGGCCTGGCCCAGCACATACCCCATGCCTGAAATACAAGTTCGCACCTAGTCTATGCAGGGCCAGGCCAGGCTTTGGCCTATGTCACTAAAAACATTATATTTAATAATATATAATATTATATACTATATGACAAAATATATGTTATAGTTTATATAAATATAAAATATTATGCATAAAATGCTATTTGTGTTATTTTATAATATTTATACATGTATAACGTATAATATAAAATAAAACATAGCTATGAATATATATATATATAGGGCTTCAAATGATCACCCCTAACTTGGCAGCATCGTCATGTTGTGAGAGAAATAAGAAAGTTGGCAAACAACTTGAGAGTTCAATTTCTGTGGACAAGGGATGCAAATTGTTTGGCTGATGCTTTAGCCAAAGAAGAGGACAACAGGGAATACTTGTGATGACAATTGAGGGACCAAGTATATAAATGGGATTGATAGGTGATTTTAATTAGAGATGCTTGGGGTGCTTGGCACTTCCTAATGTACATCAAATTTTTTCTTTCAAGTATTAAACTAACAAGTTACCAATAAAAAAAAAAAAAAAAAAAAAAAAAGCAATCCCATTTTGGATGTAATTGCTAAACAAGTCTCAAGCTGGAAACTTGGACAACTATACAATGCAATAACTAGAGTTGGGCTTTGCTATTCAGAATAGATAGATCATCTTTGGAGTGTGCAATGAGATATTGTGATCTACTCTGCTAAGCACATGTTCTTTGTTTAAGCATGCAATATGCAAGATCAGGGTGCTAGCTAGTAGAAGTTTTTCGTACCAATCCTTATTTGAGCTTTTTTTTCATCTTATGGTCTTGAGGTAAGCTGGGACAAATGAACGAGGCCAAAATTGGAATCCCCATCTTTTTATTCTGATTTTCCTGCAATATGATGTTTAACTTTAACCTTTGCAGGTTTTCATTGCATTCTTTTTAGTCATGTTAGCTTTTGGCTTTCAGCTTACTTCATTGCCTAGGAGACATACTCATACATCAGCTTACTTAGAAGTTAGAATGTATCTAACTTGATGATGACTCAAACTTAGCTACATACATATCAACAGGAAGTTACCCAAGACAACTCCTTGGTAGATCATAAGCTCAGTAAATACATATGCATATGTAATTTTTATATGATATGTACCATGCATTTGTTCCAAACTGCATGTCCTCCACCAGCATATGGAGCATATTCTTAGCCTTTATGACCATAGAAAGCATTGTTTTAACAGTTGGTTAACTAAACAGTGCTGCTGATCATCCCAAGGATGAGGACTATGTCGCATCTCCAAGGTAACTGCTTACCATATACGCCAAGAGAAATGGAAAAAAGCTTCAACAAAAATTATATTGAATAAGAGGCAAGTACTAACAAGAATCCAATGATATATTCCAACTTGGTGATCTTGACTTCTAGGAGACCAACAACCAGAAGAGAACCATTAACCCTCTACATATAATAGTATAGCTTTGATATGGTTTTCTTCTTAAAGTAACCTTTGTAAAGTGGTAGGTGGGTATCCAACCCATGTAATATACTCTGTTCAAATTGGTATTAGATGCTAAGGTAGTTCCTTATTTATCTAACCAAAGTCAAGAATCAGCTGATTAGAATGGTTCTAGCACCACAACAAATATGAGTCTTATCAAACTTTGATCCATTCATGGTCTTCATATCGCCTAATTTCCACATAGAAGAACAACTTAATGGTAAAGATTCCTTGAAGAGGCAAGAGATCATATTTGTTTGGAATGACAATAAGAGTTAAACGGGCCTCTGCATATAGCTTACCTTGAGTATGATGGCACCATTTTGTATTCATTGAACTTCTAAAACAACCTTGATATTAAAACTCCAAATGTAAACACCATGGATGGCACATGCTACAGAAATTAATTGTATCAATATCAAATTATCTAGTGGGAAACTTGCCTAAAAAAAAGCCTATCTATTCAAATCTTTAAAACTAGGGAAGTTGAAGGAAAGGAATGAGGCATTTTTTTTATCAGGAAGGAATGAGGCCTTATTAGGGTAGTGGTTATGGAGATTCCTGTGTGAGACAAATAGGTTTTGGCACAAAGTGGTAACTAGTGTACATGGGCTCTCTGAGAATGGCTGGGATGCTGGAGTTTCTCGTAGGGCTTCTAGTTCCTCACCTTTGAAAGCGATTCACAAAGTTCTCCCGCCGTTTCTCAACCTCATCAGATTTGATCTCAATTCAGGTAATAAAATCAGTTTTTCGGAAGATGTGTGGGTGGGCAAGCAATCCTTAAAAACCTTGTTCCCTTCAATCTTTGCCCACTCCTCCCTCAAAGGCAAGCCGGTTGCTGATTTCATCTTCCCCTCCCCCTCCCTGTCTGGTTTTGCTTGGAATATGGATCTTCATAGAGAGGTAAGGGATTGCGAGATGGATTCTTTGTCTTCTTTGTTGCAGCTGATTGATGTGATGTTTCTATACATTTCTAAACAAGACACTAGGGTTTGGGCCCCCACCCCTCTGGAGTCTTTAGTTGTGTTTCCTTCTTCAAATCCTTGTCCTATCCTGCTCAACCTGGGGTACCTTTCCCTGTAAAAGAAGAATGGTGTCACCCTATTCCCCATAAAGTGGGTGTTTTTTGTTGGGAGGTCTATCGTGGTGCAATCAACACCTGTGATCTGATGCAGAGGAAGAGGCCTGGCTGGTGCCTTTCGCCTAATTGGTAATGCTTATGTGAGACGAATGGTGAGACTGCTTATCATATCCTTGTCTCCTGTCCTTTTGCTAGCAGTATTTGGGATTCTTTATTCTTTTTGGATGCAGGTGGGATACTCTGATAAACTTGGAAATGCTTTTTAACCCCTCTACTTTCAGATGGCCAGAAACAAGAGGGAGAGCACTATGGAGATGCACAAGGGCAGCAGTAATTTGGGTAATGTGGGAGGAAAGAAATTTGAGAATTTTTGAAGAAAAGAAAAGATGCAAGGAAGAAATAATAGAAAGAATTGTGTTGAAGGTAACATCATGGGTAAAGTCACTGAACTTGTTTTCAGACTTTACAATGAATGGCATAATTAGGAACTGGAGGGAAGTTGCTTCATCCTCAACGGTTAAGGTCTTAAAGGAATGGGACCCCCCTGAATCAGGACTACTCAAACTGAACATTGATGGAAGCAGCCTTGGCAACCCGGGAAGATCTGGAATTGGAGGGGTATTTAGAGATGACAAAGGAAATGTAGTGGGGCTGTTCTCAGGCCCTATTGGTAAGGGTGATTCCACTACAGCTGAACTAAAGGCAGTGGTATTTGGATCCAAAAGGCTAAGGAGATGGGGATGCAAAAGCTTGTTGTGGAAGGCGACTCCAAAGTAGTGATAAACTGGCTAAAGCAAACTGAAGAAATACCCTGGCTGCATAGGAATGGTATCAAGAAGATTAAAAAACCTCTCCAAGGACTTGCAGTTATCATTTCAGTGGACTCGAAGGGCAGCAAATGGATTTGTAGACCAGCTAGCAAAACAAGGGGCAAACAGGGATCAGTGTTTTGGGGCTCAGATGTAAGAATGACAAATCATAAGTGATAAGTGGCAGTTTAATTTTAGTGGGGTAGCCGAGGCTACTCATAATCTGTAATTCACGTTTTATTATATTAATGAAATTCTCTTTACTGATCAAAAAAAAAAGCTAGCAACAATGACATAGAAAAAGGCATTTAGAACCAATACATCTGCTTGGAGAAAATAACAAAACTGGCAATTTAATGCTTACCTGTAGCTTTGCAATTCCCTGTAGTGCACTTTTGTAGGCAAGAAGAGAATGCCCTAATCCTATACCCATGTTCCTCAAGACTGTTGAATCAGTCAGATCACGCTGTAAATAACATCAAATAAGAATCACTGCTTATGATCTACATTTTAATACCATAACCTTCTCAAGCTGCAGCTAATTACCATACAAAGGGAAAGTATTCTCAAAATAATATACCCCGCATGATCTGTGAGCAAATAGTTACTAACCAACACAGTATTCTATCAAGACCCAACTGCCAAGGAGCTAGTAGGAGTTGGAAATTGGAGACTTGGAGTAGAATTGAATCATTGGAGAACCAAATTTGAAAAAGATCCATTTTTTTTGGAAACGCACAAACAGATTGATTGATTAATAGATCTTATCATTCACAAAGGCTAGTGAAGATGGTCAGTTTGACTAGACAATAATGTCCAACCAGACTAATTAATTAATTATTTCTTGATATCTGATTAATTAGTTTTATGGTAATAAAAGAAAAAGATTTTATTAAAATAAAAAAGAAGGATACAAAGGATGGTGATCAGCAATCACCCAAGAAAAAGAACAATCAAGACTACACCTCCAAAAGACCAACTCCAGCTTCTAAAAAAGCAAAGAAAGAAATAACCACCCACGATACAAGAAGCAACAAAGACCAATAAACAGACCACCCCTGCTGAACTAGAAAATTGCACACCAACACCCTACAATAGCTGCACAAACAACACCAAACTCCACAAGATTAAATAGAAACCCTTTTGCTTCTCCTGATAGCTGTCTTCGGCTTTTTCACTTTCCTAGCAGGCCCAATTCCAAAAAAAAAAAAACCCTTTCAATCTTGCAGATACTTATGAGACCCAGACAGTTCAAGAAATTCTGTGACTGTTAAATCTTCTATTCTCATTAGTCTTCTTTAAAACTCTCAGTATCTTTTGATCATCATTAATTATTATGCAATTGTTTGCAAGTTTTTTGAAAAAAGCAAAATATGTCAAAGAAAGTCATTAGGTATTTTAGTAACTATAATACACAAACTTACATAAACTAACCTATTTCTGCCACATGGAGGGATCTTGTGGCCGATCCAGACTGTCCATCAGATAAGAGACCACTGGATTGGAAACATATTAAAACTTACAGTCCATTCAGCCATATGCCCCACTTGTATTGATGGTTTTCACAACCAACACTGCCCATCAAAGTTTTTAACTTTTAGTATAAATTTAACTATTTATCGTAGTTGTCAAGGCGATGCCTAGGCGACAAGGCACCCTTTGAAGCTTGCCTTGCCTAATTGYCAAGCAGTTTTGTACTATGCATTATAAAATACTTTTTTTTATTCTTTATTTTTTGACCTTATAATTATAAAATAGGCACTACTAAACTAAAATATTCATTTTGTGTGTTTATATACTACTTTCTTTTTATTATTTTCTTATTTGTTAGGGTTTAATCAATACAAACATTGCTAAATGCTGTATTGAACCCCTCAAAGACTTTAAAACCTGAAACAATAAGAAAGGAAAAATTTTAAATGTTGTCTAATAATCAACACATTTTCTACTACTTTTTTCTTTTCTTCTTTTTTTATAACAAAAATAAAGGTTCAGCCCCTATATTTTTTTAATTTTCTTTTCCTTCTTTTTCTTCTCATGAATATGTTGATTTTCTATACTTCAACATGAACTCTATACTTTTCTAATGAAAATTTATGAATAATTATTAAGGAAATATGGTTATGGTACTTGGGGAACTACCCAAGGATCTACGTTTTCTACATAAAAAAAAATAATCCATCGCCTAGGCGGCAACAAGGCGCCCCCCCCCGGTCACCTAGCCTCGCCTTAGCGCCTTGAAAACTATGCTATTTATTTTGCAAAATGTGCAAGATATTTTGGGCTAAAATATTCCATGAATAGAGGATAACAAGAGGACTTTGGAGACTCCTTTTGAGATCCAAACTAATTTGTCACATGAAAGATTCCCAGGTTGCTAAGGGAAGCTCACAAGATGACCTGAGTTTCAACCTACATGCATAGATGAAACTGGTTTCCTAATCAGATAAAATAGAGATTTTTCCTACACAACCTACATTATTTCAGCCAAATGGAGGAACTTYGTAACCAATCCAGACCATTCATCGGATAGGGGACCCTCTGTATTGCCCAAGTTCTAAATCTTGCAGTCCATATCAGCCCTATATCAACCTGAATTTGAAACTTAAAAATCTTGCAATCCCCAAAGTTTTTCAATTTTTATTTAAAAAGTTATTCATAAAAGAGAACTTATCTAGGCAACGGAAGTCTTTTGAAACCAAAAGTTAGAGACTTAAAATCCAGGTGGCACCCTTTTATGAGCCACCATTCAGAAGAAATTCCACTTCAGAATATCTTGAATTAGAAGTGGCCCCTATCTAAGCACTTTCTTTCCAAAGAACTGTATAGAAATGCACTCCAGATTGAAATAACAAGTAGGATAGTGAAGGAGTATTAAAGATAATTCATATGTGAAACTACATATGTTATTACCTGCCACCGTGATATGGGCAACTTTGTGCTGAGGTGATGCAGAATAGCATTAGCCACTCCAAGGTTACCCTCGCTGTTTTCAAAGTCAATAGGATTTACTTTGTGAGGCATGGTTGAAGAACCAATCTCACCAGCTTTGGTCATCTGGAAAATGAAAGGACCCTTGAGACTTAATACAAGAAGATTTTCATTTTCTAAACATTAAAAAGAGTTGCCATCAGATGCTCACCTGTTTAAAGTAACCCAAAGATATATAAGCCCATATATCCCTATCAGAATCCATCAAAATATTGTTGAATCGGATTATTGCATCAAAAAGTTTTGCCATATAATCATGAGGCTCAATCTGCACAGAAAGGACAGCACAATCACAGATGGTGATCTAGAACCCAAAACATAGACAAACAAATAGAAAGTCGGATGATTCCCAAGTCTACCAAATACCAACTAGATTAAAGGTCCACCATTCATGAACATGTCATCAACATTTTTTTATCAATTAAAGTGGATGATATGACGAGTGAACATGTCAATAACATTAATAAAAAATGCAGATATCATCAGCTAACCAAAAAACTATTTCATACTGTTATCAATTACATCTGCAGGAACAGTAGGATGCTTCACCAAGTCTACCCAGATATTGAAATGATATGGCATGGATGTAGAAATTATATTTGAAGTTTATGAGAACAATCATCCTGCAGAATGGGTCAGCTGCCTCGAAAGCATACAGCTGCAGGACCAATTATTCTTCTCCAGCAGTAAGCAGTACAGTAGGTCCAACTCCCACATGGATTCCCTAGATTGGCTTTTTCTATAATGCAGCACAGCAGCCATATCAGACGATAAAAATTTTATTGTCAAATGAAATTTTATTGTCAGGCTTTTTAGCTCCACTTCATTTTTTATTGTCAAATGATAAAAACTTTATTGACAATAAAAACAATACAGTAAATATTTACAAAAGGTATGTTCTTTGAACTTTACAGAGAAACATGGAACAAACTCATTGGCAATCCCCCACTGTTCATAGAAGAACCACCAAAATAGTAAGTAGAAAACAAAAAATATACTATAATGGATATCCACCCCAAACCAGCAACCATCTACTAACTCCTTTGCAAGCTAAAAAGTCACCAAAAGAATTGGCAGATCTAAGAACCCAAGAGAACACAGCTTTTAAAATGTGAGCTAAACAACACCTTGCTTTTCCAATACGATGTTTTAATTGCCAAGGTCCTGCAACTCCTGCCACTTCTAACAACTTCTTTCAGCCAGGAAATGTTAATATGGCCATCAACAAGCAAGCTCTGAAAATAATACCCGTCTCACTCCCTGAAGCACATTTCTTAATTATGCCTTAATAAAGTTTCCATTTTTTATGAATGAAGATAATTTTATTAAACCAGAAAATTAAGGCATTGCAGGAAACCCATGGAGAGGCACAAGCTGTTACCTCTCCTAACAAAGTATTATATCAAGTTAAAACAGGAATAAAACATAAATAAAATTACAGTGCAGACCAAAATAAATGCTCCCTTGAAGCCCCTTGCTTAGCTAACCCATCCGCTAAGGTATTTGCTGATCTCCCCACCCAAAGAGAGTAACAGTCATGCTCCTTGTGAACCAATTAACTTTCCTCAATAAGTCTTTGTATCGCCATATAGCTGAGCCTGGATCTGTCAACCATCCCACAACAATTTTGGAGTCTCCTTCAATTACCAAATTCTTAACTCCTAATTGTTCTACAATCTGAGTACCTTGTACAACCGTCAAAATCTCAGCTCTATTAGAGTCTCCTATTCCCATTGGACCTGAAAACAATGCTAAAATGTTGCTATCCTTATCTCTCTCAGCACCCCTCCTATCCCCGATGGGCCTGGATTTCCTTGGCTGCTACCATCAAAATTCAGCTTTACCCAACCTTCAGACGGAGGCACCCACATTGCAGATATCCTGTCCTTTCTCGTATTTACTGTTAGCCACAGCTCTCCAGTTTCTCCAAATATCATCAAAAGAAAAGGAATGAAAGGAATCCACAGTTCTCAACCAATGAATGGCCCTAGTCAAGAGACAATCCTCTACAACCTGAATGCTTCTTTCCTTTTCTTTGAATAACCTTGCATTTCTTTCTTCCCAAATTGTCCATAATGCAGCTGCTCTAGTACATCTCCACATGTTTCTTCCTTTTTTTGTAGGCCACACAAAAAAGGAAGCATCAAAAAGCTGACTTATGTCCATGGTCAGATTCCACCTGCACCCAAACAAAGCAAAAATCCAACTCCAAATAGCAACAGAAAAGGAACAAGGTAAAAGTAAGTGGGAGCAATCCTCACCACTAGCCCTGCAAAGTATACACCAATTAGGGGACAAACAGATGAAAGGCCTTTTCTTCTGCAAGCAGTCCAAGGTATTGATCTTTCTATAAAACACCTCCCAGCAGAAAATAATAATTTTAGGTGGAACAACTCTATACCATATCTCCTTGGTCGGAAGACCCAACTATCCCAAGGAAGAGCAAAGGGCCTTAGAAAAGGAAGCACATGTGAAGTAACCTTTTGGATGAGGGGACCATAATCTCACATCCAATCTAAGAGGGTCCAAAAAAACACTGCCAAGAAGAGACAACAGGTCTGAGACACTAATAAGTTCATCATCCCTCAAGCCTCTATGAAAACCAAAGTCCCAACTTAAGGAGGGTGAGACATGTGTTGGGAGAAAATGAGAGATAGCTTTTTCCTTCTAGAGGGAAAGGGAATAGAGAGATGGAAACCGGTCCTTAAAGGCAAAGGTACCCACCCAAATGTCTTCCCAAAATAAAAGAGGGTTACCAGAATTGACATCATACCTAACATAATTGAGAAATTGAGGGAGGATACTCTGGATTGCTTTCCACGGAGTTGCCAATGTAGCTCGATGCAATACACCAGCATCCCATCCATTTTCCAATCTGCCATGTATAGTAGCTATCACTTCATGCCACAACCTCTCCCTTTCTATGGGCCACCTCCACAACCATTTTCCTAAGAGAGCTTTATTCTTGAGAACTAGCCTTCCTAATCCCAATCCACCCTCCTCTTTACTCCTACAAACTATTTCCTAGTTAATTAAGTGATCTTTCTTTTCCTCACTTGGCTCCCAARGAAAATTCCTCATTAATCTCTCCAACTTCTTAGCCTCCCTAAGGTTTGCTAGGGTGGCTCTCAATAAGGTCACTCTACCCCCTAGAGAGATGTAGTTCTTTTTTCAAGAAGCTAATCTTCTCTCAAACTTTTCCAAAACTGGGGTCCAAAAAACTACTCTCCTTTGGGTTGGCCCCTAGAGGGAGACCTAGGTATTGCAAGGGCCAAGAAGAAATGGAACAAACCTAAACAATCTGCCACAAACTCAAGAACCCTCTCATTCATATTAACACCCACCACACAACTCTTGTCCAGGTTTATCTTCAAATTGGAGACATTCTCACCTTGTCTAAGGCCTCTACATGCTGGGAAAAAATCCTTGACCACCCGATTAACCAAGATTGAGTAATGGCAGGAGCTCATACAGCCCTTTACCCAATTGCACCATCTATCTCCAAATCCACAACACCCGAGGACCTCCAGTAAAAAGCTCCAATCCACAAGATCATAGGCCTTTTCTAAATCCAACTTACAAGCAAAACCTTGATTTCCTGATTTTCCCATGTCCTCCACACACTCATTTCCTATTAAGATCTGATCCATTATTTGTCTTCCCTGCACAAAGGCACCTTGTGCTTGAGTAATGATGGAGGGCAGCACTACTCGAATCCTCATAGACTTTAGCTAGGATTTTATAGATGCTTGTCACCAGGCTAATCGGCCTAAAATCCTTTGGGTCCTTTGCATTTATCTTCTTTGGGATTAGGGCTAAGAAGGTAGCATTAACTCTAGGGCTTACCTTATTCTTGTTAACAAATTCCTGAAACACCCCAACAAGGTCGTCTTTAACCACATCCCAACAGTCCTGATAGAAATCCATGGTGAAGCCATCTGGACCAGGTGCTTTAGATCCATCCATTAAAAACACCGCTTGTCTGATTTCCTCTTCACTAAAATCCCTAACCAATTTACTTGTTCTTCAGACAGCCTAGTCCAATCCATTCCTTCCAATCTAGGCCTATTATTCAACGGTTTCCTATAGATTGATTTGAAATGATCCACAAACACCTTAATAATGTTTCCATTATGTACCTCCATTACTTTTGGTGGGTCACAATTGTGACTTTGGCTTCCAAAGAGGTATRATGGATGATGAATTGAATCATCTCACGAGTCTTTTACAAATTCTTGATAGTGTGTGCTTGGACCCTTCTAAACTAGATATACATCTTTAGGCCCCCCATCCCAAGAGTTCATTCTTGTGTGCCTCTTTTTTCAAGTCTCCCCCCCCCCCAATCCTAAGGATTCATTCTCATGTGCCTCTATTTTCAAGTCTCTTTGCTTTTCTTAGATCCTTCTCTTTTCCCTTTAAAGAGGTCTGGGGTAGACCCATTCCACCTAAAATAGCCTTTTGTTGGGAAGTGGATGTGGATCATAGTAAGATCAACACTTTGGATTAGTTACAGAAAAGAAGACCCTCTTTGTGTGTATCTCCTAACTGGTGTGTCTTATGTAAATCCAATGGTGAGAGTTGTTACCACCTACTAATCTCTTGTCCTTTTGTTATAGATATTTGGTATTGGTTTTTCTCTTTGTTTGGCTACAGGTAGACCTGTTCATGGGCCGGGCCGGGCTTTCACTCTGCATTAACAGATTTTTCTAAGGCCCGAGCTCGGCCCTCATAAAAAGCCCGAAGTCCGGGCCTGGGCCCGAGCCCGAAGTCCGGACCTGGGCCCGAGCCCGAAGTCTATCTCATGCCACTGCTATTGCTGAAGCAGCTGAATAGAGAGAGAAAGAGAGAAAGAGAGAGAGAGAGAGAGAGAGAGAGAAAGAAATTATAAAGAAAAAACAAAAAATGTATATATTAAATTATTAATATATTCTAATAAATATTATATATTTTATATTATATAAATTACATATTATATATTTTATAAAATATATAATGCTGAGTCGGGCCAGGCCGGGCTTTTTTGACAAATCCCAAGCTCGGCCCGTAACACAATCAGACTTGCTGTTTTGGGCCTAAGGTCAGGCCCGCGGGACTAATTACATGTCCAAGCCCGACTGGGGTGCGGGCCGGGCCGTCGGGCTACCCGGCCCATGAACARGTCTAGCTACAGGTGGTCAACAAACAAAGGTTAACATGCTATTTGATCCTTCTGCTTTTGTTTGGCCCAAGAAGAGGGGGCAGATTATGTGGAGATGCATGAGAGCAGCTTTGGTTTAGACTTTAGACTATATAGGAAGAAAGAAATACAAGAATATTTTTAGAAAAGGAGTGGTGGCTAGAAGCTCCTCTAAGAAATGTGTGAGAGCAGATTTGGTTTGTGTGATGGCCAGGGTATTCACTAGATTAGAACAGTGGACTTGTTCACGCAATTTTCTTTTTATGACGTTTGGATGAATTAGGAAGTTATGGCTAGAAACTCCTCTAAAAAGGAAAAAGTAAGCTAAGTTCCAACTCATTTTTACATTAAAAAAAAAACAGCTTCAAAACTAAGCTAAATTCCTAAGATATGAATTTCTCAAAAGAAATAATTTATTAAGCTAGCACACTTAAATAAATTCTAATTCAAAAACTCAAATAACCCAGAAAAAGGAAAACATTGTCATGGCCACAACTAGTTGCAGTGATGTTTGAATTTCACAATCTTGTCTAAAATTAATAAATTTATAATTCAAAACCCAAACAACCCAAGAATAGAGATCTCTTCACAAACTCTTAGGCTGTCCATATATCAGCTACAACTAGCTCAATTCATGTCCAAACCTAACAACCTTGGTCCTTTTTTATTAGTAATCAAAAAGAATTTTATTCATTAGGGTAAGAATAGGAATTGGGTGAACCAAAGCTAGTAATTAGTTTTGTAAATCAAGTAATCAACTGTTATAATGCTGAACCAAATGAGCTTGTACCTTAATAGCCTGCTACTCTTTTTTGGGTAAGCATATTCCTAACAAAATAGAAATGGCTATTTATCAAAAAAAGGGATGTAATAATTAAAACCTGTGCTAGGCACCCCTTATATAAGTTTTAGGTTGGCCCCTGCCACTTCATCCAAACTTTTCCTATATATCTATATGCTACTAAGATATAATCTCCCATTGTGAGATATTGGTCAATAGCTGTATATTACCAAAATCTCACAATCTTGGTATTGCTAGATGGTTTATTGAATATCCTATCTATGGCACCAAAATCAGGCAATATAAAAAGTTTAGACCCATCTAATTTAGTAGGGCAGCAAACAAACTGGATTAAATCAGATCTTCCTATATCCGAATTTGACTTGTTCATAATCAGATTTGAATCAAATCTTGCCAATTAGATTTGGATCAGATTTAAATCAAATTGAGATATTGAATGCCTTCATAAAATTAAACTAAAAACAATATTATATATCACTAATAAAATGAACTAAAATGATTTTTCAACAATAAAATAATTGCAAATGACTTCTATGAGACTATATTACTCTTAAATAAACATACATCATTGAAACCAATTTTATTAATAGTTAAAGTGGGTGTGTGTGTGTAAGCCTTATACCAATGTATGACTCCTTGATTGTGCTTCTCGCTTTTAAAAAATTGCATTTACATCTTCTTGCTTGGCATGTGCATGTCAGTATTGAAGAGTTATTAACTCTAAATGGACAATGGATGATCTCCCAATCTCTCACATGTTGAAAGTTTAACCCTGCCCAGCCACACAGAAACTCACAACCCGTGTAACCGAAAAATTCCTTTCCTTTTCTACTCATTCACACAAGGCATGGCAGTTAACTCTTTGTTTTGCACTTTTTTGTAGAGATAGAATACATGAAGCAGGCAAAAATAGCCAGCATGAGAAGCCGAATCAAAACCATGAACTGGATTTAACAAACAAATTAAATGGATATTAAATATACCTGGGTCACATAGGGGTTGAAACTTAATCCTAGAGATTTGACAAACTCTTCAGCAATGCTAGGCCAATAAATATCTGGATATGCAACAAGATGAGCATTGTAATTTCCGACTGCACCAGCAAACTTGCCCAACAACCCAATTTGAGAGATGTCCTGTCTTTCTTTACTAAATCTGGCAGCAAAAATCGCCATTTCTTTGCCCAATGTAGTAGGTGAAGCTGTCTACAATATGATAAACAGAAAAACATCCAGCCGATTTAATAGGATATGCAAATATGAAGAATCAAAGTAAAAAACCAATTATTAAGTGTCACTATCTATAATAGCATCCTTGTTACATAAACTTATTTCAGAGCATTCCAATGGATATAGAATAAGTTTCAATACCTGGCCATGAGTGCGAGAAAGCATTGGAATATGGGCATTCTTTTTTGCCATGTTGCAGAATGCTTCAATCAACTCATCCATGACAGGGAACAACACACTGTTAAGAGCTTCTTTAAGCATCAGTGCATGTGCCAAGTTGTTGATATCTTCGGATGTGCAAGCAAAATGAAAAAACTCAATTACCTAAAATACACAAGATAGAGATTTGACATATTTAACACTCTCAAGAGGGAAAAACTAGTAAATTGTAACGCTTACAGCTGAAAAGAATAATTAAAGAAACAAACCTTTGAGATCTCTGAATTGGATTGACACTTTTGCTTCAAGAAATATTCAACTGCTTTAACATCATGGTTAGTCACTTTCTCAATGTTTTTGATATCTAATGCATCTCTCATGCTAAATCCATCAATGAGTCCTTGTAAAAAAGATTGAGCTTCTTCACTAAAATTTGGAACCTCAGTGACTTCAGGAATTTGTGAAAGCTTTATTAGCCATTTGATCTATAATAGACAAAAACCATGTTAATTTGAACAGTATAAAATTCTTAAAAGCTGTTAAGTGAGACATAATAGATAAATATACTTCAAGATGACTGATGTAAGTAGATCCAGTGCAACAAACCCATCCGGACAAAAGCAATTTAAGAAAATCATAGTTTTATATCATGCTTATCTTTCCAATTGTTTCCAGTGTCATTTCTTCTCTTTCTCATGGCAAGAAAGTTCAAAGTTTAACATATCATGTATTAGAAAATATAGACAATCATAATAACCTAAATTTAAAATAAGGAAAAATAAATAAAAGAACCAAAATCTAAAAGGATCAACATGGGACAACAYGTGAATGAAGTATAATGCCTTTATATGGATTTCCTCGCGTTACAGATTAATGCACATCCAGTTTTCCGTTTTCCTTGGTCTTCTTTTTTTAATGGAAGTGTCGTCCATAATAGGTCTAAGTTATAGGAAAGATGCGTTTTTTTCTGAAAAAAGGTGAAGTATTTGCTTGTATTTTTCCTGGTGTCCATCCAGAGTCCAGAGTTCATGCAACTAAGAGACGAATATATAACAAATGAATCGTTTTCATATAAGGAAATATATGTTACCAACAAGACTATGCTGCATGCAGGCGGGTGAATGCAGAACTGTACCTCAACTAGAACACGGTAGCGAATTAGACCATATTCACTCATAAAGGGAGCCAAGTCTTTGACCTTTCCCCAGTATCGACCGTCCAATGATGATAAGGCCGTCAAACTAGAGAGTTCAAATTCCTTGGAACATTCGCCAAACATACTTTTCGTCTGAAAGATGAAAGTTCACAAAATCTAAGTCTTTATCACGCTATGATATCCACAATTACATTTCAAAGATTGAAATTTTAACTGTTAGCATAGTCAAATAGTTATAATGAATCACCTCTGCTGCGAAGACCTTGTTATCTTTCAGACAAGCTTTGCAGTTGACAACTCTAGAGACGAAACTGTTGGAAACGTGAATTGAATCATTCAAAGCAAAACGTGAACTTGAAAGCGCCCTCCACTTGCAATGATTTCGTCTAGAGTTGAAACGCCATAGTTGAATGCTGTTACAAAGCGTAAGAGAAGATCCAATCTCCATGGATGAAATAAGAGGGGAATGGGAGAAGAAAAATACTTGCAGTTGCAGAGAGGGGAATGGCGAAAATGAAGAAAAGGGGCGGAATGAAGAAAATGAAAGTATACAAAAAACGCAGAGTTGTAGACTTGTTGGTTGTTGCAGTGAGAGACGAGAGAGGAGAGAACGGTGGGCAAGAATAAAACCCTGGGCGAGAATGAGGAAATTGTCGATTTTTTTTTTTTTTGGTAAAGTAAAGAAGAAATTGTAGATTCTGTATTTCTGTGTTAGGGAAAAGGGCTTAGTGCTGGCCGGCTGGGGGGTTTTGAGGAATAAATTTCCTCGCTTACCCCTAAGAGATTTTATTTACTTTAGTGAATAAAAATATGGGAAAAGTACGGTGGGGTTATGAATATATATAATATAATATAGGGTAATATACAAAAATCTCCCTAAATGTTTTGACAATCATAAAAACTTCCTCTATAGTTTCACTTTAACAGAAATTTCCCTTAAATTTTTTAAAACAATCAATAAAAACCTCCCTTCCGTCACTTTTCCAAACAGAAAACCGTTAATGTACGAAATTACCCCTGACTAATTGACAGAGTGTAACGACGCCCATTTGACAACCTACGATGCTATATTATCTCGCAATTCATATTATCAAAGCTTTGTTCCTGCCACTATGTATCCGTCCGATTAAAATGCGGCACAACCTTTACTCTCATTTCTCTCTGTCGATCTCTCTCTCTCCCAAAGTCATCYGCCTGCATACTGAAAATCCCTCTCAAAGGCGTCTTTGAGAAGAGCGGAGAAGTCGTCTGCATCTGCATGGTTCAACGCAAATAATAGAATCAAAGCAGGAAATAATGCAAAGGAGGAGAGGAGAAGGCGTCTTTGGCTACCCATAGCGAGACAGATAGTGCAGTGTTACGTTGTAGCAATTCTAAAGTGTGTTTACAATTGTAAATTTCAGAAAAAGTGTTCAAATTGACCGTTTGTTGTAGCAATTCTAAGAGATGAGAGGCTGTTGCCGAGCCTACTGCTGCAGAGAGGATGCTTCATGATTCATTAATGTTTCTTCACCAAGCCAAAGTTCAGTGACTTCCATCTGGTTCGACGTCAACAAGCCAATTTTGTGTATCCACCATCTAGATACGCAAAATTCTCTTTTATCTCCTCTCTCTCTCTTTCTCTCTCTCCGGTTGAATGAAGTAAAATCGCATTGCAGGCACCATTTTTCACGTAAGGACAAAACAAACGATTTCAGCCATTTCATCCGTTCCCATTCTTTCTAACAATCCACCCCAACTAATGACATCGCTTTGCTTCTTTTGATCACTCGTTCAACCCTTCTCTCTCTAGAAACGGAGTTCAGTTTTAATTTCCACGAGAAATAAGACAGAAAACAACACCCAAGAAAATATGTTTAGTTATAGTTGAGTTTCGCAGGTCTTCTGGTTTTCAAGTAAGCTCATGTCACAACAACCCAGAATTAATATTTCAATTATCAAAGATAAGAAAATGGGTTCGAATTCATCTTGATTATAGACTTGTAGTTAGGTGTTTAAAAAAAAGAGAAAACCAGCGGGAATGCCCATGGTGTTGTAGGAATGGATATACTGTGACTGTGAGATGGGAGAAACTTCAAAGTTCAAACTTCTAAATTTGAGAAATCTCAACTTAGTTTGAAGTTTGCAGGGCTTTTCTGGTCATGTATTATTTTTTGGCTAAGTACATCGTCATCTCGTCTGCTCCCAAGTGGCCGATGACTTAGAGGCTGAAGTGGAGTTCCCTGGTGGCGAGCTACCTAGTGGCGAATTGCCTGGTGCCGAGCTGCCTGGTGGTGAGCTACCTGGTGGTGAACTACCTTGATGAGCTGCTTGGAGGTGAGCTACCTTGATGAGCTGTCTAGTGGCGAGCTACCTKGATGATCTGCCTGRTGGCGAGCTACCTTGATGAGCTACATTGATGTGCTTTGTTGCTCTTTTAGAGGCCTACAAGGAACCAAATGTCAGAGGACCCGGGGTGGCTAACCCGGCAATGTCACTCCGATGCCTAAGTTAGCACTTAGTGGAGAGCTGAGAATGATATTAGAGAAT